CGGCGGAGGCACTGGGAGCGGTGGAGGGGGCAGCAGCGGCGGTGGGGGAGGAGGGAGCGGTGGTGGCAGTGGTGGTCAGGGCCAGCAGCAGCCGCAGCAGCAGCAGCAGCAGCAGCAGCAGCATCAGCGCCAGACCCCCACTTCCCAGCAACTTCTTGATTGGTATGCCGGGCGTGGGGCTTCTGGGGGTCCTGGTCGCTGCCCCTATATCATCCGCACATGTCCCCGCGCTGGTCGCCAGTGCACAAGTTTTCACACTGAGCAGCGCTGCTTCGCTCGGCTTAGCGTCGCCTGGCGCGCCAAGTTTCCTGATGCTCCTGAGTTCCCCAACTGGGCAGACTTGCTTAGGCGTGATGTACCTATCTTTGATCTTGACTATGAGGCAATTCTTGTTGCTATGTATGTATTGTCTGTTAGTGCTGAGGGTGACTGCTACTTGTGTGTGCCGCCGGATCCTGGTATAGCCCCTGGTATAGCCCCTGCAGCACTAGGTGCTTGTGAGTCTGCTCCCCTTGGTACTGCGCCTGCACATGCCTTGCACACCTTTACACTTGACTCTGGTGCTTCCCGCTGTTTCTTTCGCGACAGTACCACAGTCACTCCCCTCCCTGCACCTGTTCCTGTCTCACTGGCTGACCCCTCTGGGGGCCCAGTGCTTGCACAGTCTTCCACTGTGCTTCCGTGTCCGGCGGTCCCGTCTGGTGAGCTGTCTGGTCTCCACCTCCCCTCGTTCTCTACGAACTTGGTGAGTAACGCTGTCCTCCAGGATGCGGGGGTTGACACCTTCACCCCTGGCCGGCAGCGTGTGGCGATTTGCACGTGCTCCCAGACTGGCCGCCACCTGGCCATATTCACTCGTGTGCCAGGGTCCAGTCTGTACACCCTCACCACTGTGTCGCGCTCCGCCCCTTTGTCTCCCCAGTTAGACGCGCCTGCTCAGGTAGCTACACAGTGTGAGTGTCGCCGGCTGTCGCACGACACTCTCGTGTGGCACCACCGCCTTGGTCACCCCTCCCTGCCTCGCCTTCGTAGCATGCACTCTCGCTTCCTGGTCTCTGGTCTTCCCAGGTCTCTGCCTGCCCTCCCTCCCTTGCCTGCGCCGCCCTGCATTCCTTGCGTCGAGGGGCGGCAGCGCGCCACTCCTCACTCCTCCTCGTTCCCTCCCACAGAGGCTCCACTGCAGACTCTCCGCGCTGCTCGTCTCCAGCTCCGCGAGCGGTTCCAGTCGGACTTTCCTGTCCTGCGTCTGCACTATGACCGAGGTGGTGAGTTCTCCTCAGACCTCTTGGCAGCCTTCTGTGCGGAGCACGACATCTGCCAGACATTCACGCTTCCGGCCTCTCCGCAGAAGAATGGGGCTGCTGAGCGCCGCATTGGCTTAGTCATGGAGGTCGCTCGTACCTCCATGATCCATGCGGCTGCCCCCCATTTTCTGTGGCCGTTTGCGGTCCGGTACGCCGCGCATCAGCTCAACCTTTGGCCCCGTGTCTCCTTGCCGGAGACCTCGCCCACACTGCTGTGGACGGGGAAGGTTGGCGACGCGTCGCGTTTCCGGGTCTGGGGTGCTCGTGCCTTTGTCCGTGATACCACTGCGGACAAGCTCTCCCCTCGCGCCATTCCTTACGTCTTCCTTGGCTTTGTCCCTGACGCGCCTGGATGGCAGTTTTACGACCCCGCCTCGCGCCGTGTCTTTGCGTCTCAGGACGTCACCTTTGACGAGTCGGTCCCCTTTTACCGCCTCTTCCCCTACCGCACTGCTCCTCGCCCCCCCCCGCCGCTCTTTCTTGCCCCAGGTCCTCCCCAGGTAGACCCCCTCCCCGCGCCAGGTCCTGCTCCTTCAGGTGTCTCTCAGGTAGACCCCCTCGCGCCTGCGCCTGTTGAGGTCACTGGTGACTCCGGTCCTGCTGGGAGTGGTGCTGTCCCTGGGGGTGCGGAGCTTGGGGGTGCTGAGTCTCGGGGCGCTGAGCGTGTGGAGCCTGGAGGTGCTGAGCCTGCGCGTGAGGAGCCTGGAGGCACTGCGTCTGGGGGTGCTGCGTCTGGAGGTGCTACGTCAGGGGGTGATGAGCCTGCGTGTGCGGAGCCTGGGGGTGCTGAGTCTGGGGGTGAGTCGCCTGAGGGTTCTGAGACTGCTTTTACGCGGTCTCCTTGGAGTAGCCGTCTTCGTCCACGTGTGCCCCTCACCTCCCAACAGCTGCATGACTGGTACGGTCGCCATCAGCGTCTCGCTTCTGCACCTCAGGGCTCTACTGCTGGGGGTTCTTCTGCTGGTGTCGCTGGTCCCGGAGGTGCTCGTACTGGGGGTACTGGAGCTGCTGGGGCTGACGGTGTTGTGACTGAGGGTACTGGAGCTGCAGAGGGTGCTGGAGCTACTGAGGGTACTGGGGCTGCTGGAGGTGCTGGACCTGCTGAGGGTCCTGGAGCTACTGGCGGTGCTGGAGCTGCTGAGGGTACTGGAGCTGCTGGAGGTGCTGGAGCTGCTGGAGGTGCTGGAGCTGCTGGAGGTGCTGGAGCTGCTCGTGCTGGTGGCACTGCTCAGCCGCGCTTGTTCTTCGCTCCGCCGTCTCCGTCGTCTCAGCCACCACCTGACTCTGCACTTCGCCAGGTTCTCAGTCTTCCCTCGTCTACTGGTCTTCCGTTACAGCCTGGCTCACCGCTGCCTGCTCCTTCTCCGTACACAGAGCAGACTGGGGGCCTTGCTGAGCGTCGTGAGCCTGCGTCGCGTCCTGTCTCACCTGTCCGTTCTGGTCGTTCCGGTCGTCGTGTTCCTCGTCAGCGACAGCCGGCTGTCTCCGGACCTCACCTTGTAGTTCGTCGCCCTTCCTCTCCTCCGCCGCGTGTTCCTCTGCCGTCTCCTCCTGCGTCCTCTCTGCCTGTCGTTACTGACCCTGCGTCTGACCAGTTTCGTGCTGAGCACTCTACTGTCACGCGTATGCTTGCCACTGTTGTCACTGACCCGTCGTTTGAGTCTGCTGCTGCGTCTGCCTTAGTCGCTGAGCTTGTTGACTTTGCTGCTGCCTGTCGTCTCGACTACGCCGCCAGTCTTGTTGCTGAGTCTGAGTCTGTCTGTCCTCCATCCGTCGGGGGTGAGTGTGCTCTTGGCACGGACGTACTTGAGGACAGGCAGGAGGACCTTGAGTGTCTTGCAGCCGCTGCGCCTCATCTCGTGGCCATGCTGCTTGCCCCTGAGGGAGACCCGGATGCTCCAGACATCCCTACCCCGCGCTCTTACGCTGAGGCAATCGCGGGTGAGTACTCCTCTCAGTGGCAGACAGCCATGGACGCAGAGATGGCATCCTGGAAGTCCACAGGCACTTACGTCGACGAGGTTCCCCCTCCTGGGGCGAACATTGTCAGTGGCATGTGGATTTTCAGGGTGAAGCGACCGCCAGGTTCTCCGCCTGTCTTCAAGGCTCGTTGCGTGGCTCGAGGCTTCAGTCAGCGAGAGGGAGTTGACTTCTTCCAGACCTTCTCCCCCACCCCGAAGATGACCACTCTTCGGGTGCTACTACACGTTGCCGCTCAGCGTGACTACGAGCTTCACTCTCTTGACTTCAGCACAGCCTTCTTACAGGGCAGCCTGCACGAGGAGATCTGGCTGCGCCGCCCTCCTGGCTTCACTGGGTCGTTCCCTCCTGGTACCCAGTGGAGCCTCCGGCGGCCGGTCTACGGTCTCCGCAAGGCGCCACGTGAGTGGCACGACACACTGAGGACGACACTTGCGGCTCTTGGGTTTGCTCCTTCGACTGCTGACCCGTCGCTGTTTCTGCGCACCGACACTTCGCTGCCGCCGTTCTACATCCTCGTGTACGTCGACGACTTGGTCTTTGCCACTCCTGACACTGAGGCTCTCGCCCTGGTGAAGTCGAAGCAGCAGAAGAGACACACGTGCACAGACCTGGGTGAGCTGCGCAGCTATCTTGGCTTGCAGATCACCCGGGACAGAGCACGCCGCACCATCACACTGACTCAGTCACACATGGTGCAGCAGGTCCTTCAGCGCTTCGGCTTCACCTGGTCCTCAGCACAGGCCACTCCTCTGGCTACAGGTCACTCGCTCTCAGCTCCACCTTCGGACGAGTCCGTAGAGCCGAGTGGTCCTTACCCAGAGCTAGTGGGCTGCCTCATGTACCTGATGACGTGCACTCGTCCTGACCTTGCGTACCCTCTTGGCCTTCTGGCTCGCTACGTGGCTCCTGGTCGGCACCGAAAGGTGCACATGGATGCTGCTAAGAGGGTACTACGCTACTTGTGCAGTACATCGGGCATGGGGCTCGTGCTTGGAGGACGGGGTGACGTTGTCCTCACTGGTCACTCAGACGCCTCTTGGGTTGACGACCAGGTTATGCAGCGGTCGTCACAGGGTTACACCTTCAGCCTTGGTTCTGGTTCAGTTTCCTGGCGTTCTACACGTTCGTCTTCAGTTCTCGGCTCCAGCTGTGAGGCCGAGATCTACGCCACAGCCATGGCTGCACAGGAGCTACGCTGGCTCACCTACCTGCTGTTCGACTTGGGAGAGCGGCCTCGTTCTACACCAGTTCTGTACGTCGACAACAAGGCTGCCATTGCCTTGTGTCAGGAGCACAGACTGGAGCACAGAACGAAGCACATCGCTCTACGTTACTTCCTTGCTCGAGAGCTGCAGCAGCGTGGCCAGCTTCGTCTTGCTTACGTGGCCACTCGGGCCAACACTGCTGATATATTCACCAAGGCGCTTCCGCCTGGTGATCATCAGCGTTTCTGCACTTTGTTAGGCCTTGTTCCCACGCTTCCTCACTTGCTGTAGGCTTTGTTTGTACTGTGATCTATATGTATACCTGCATGCTTGCTCTTATAGGTAGATATCACTGTGCTGTTGTTGTTACACATATATCTCTGCATGTGAACTGACCTTGTGGCCTTTTGCTTGTGCTCAGACTGCGTGGTGACGTTGTGATCCACCCTGAGCTTGCTTTGCACTTCCTGTCTGGCCTTGTGACCCTCTGTTCTCCCCCACTTTGCCTATGGGGGTGTGTCAAACATATATTTATATGTTATAGTTTAGGTAGGCTTTAGTGGGGTACTCACTGTGGGGTACAACCCCTTAGGTTTTCCTTTTGTACCAAAACTCTCGATAGTTGAACTTCACCTTGCCTAAGAGCTTAACAGATTTTGTCCAACGCGTTCCCCACGGCAGGTGAGGGAAGAGAGTCGGTCGTCCATCCAGCAAGTGCGCGGAGGGCGGGGAGGTGTACGAGAGCGGCAGAGTGGTGGGGTACGGCGATGGGGAGAGCGACACCACCATGAGCCACCTAGATGAAGGGCTTGTGGCCAGGCGTGCAGCAGACCACGCTGCTTTGGAGTCTGCTGCCGCGGCTGTGCTCGCTGCTGTGGCTGCTGGCGGGGCTGCGAGGCAAGCTTTGGAGGTTTATGACAGTCGGGTGCATGGGCAGGATGCGTCGAGGCAGCAGGAGGGGGAGGTGGGAGGGGAGAGGTTGGGTGGGGAGATTGAGATAGGAATGATGAGTGAGGGGAGTGAGGAGGGGCAGGCAGCATAAGAGGAGGGTGAATCGGGCAGGAAGAAATGGCAGTCATTACAAGTGGCAGGAATGGGAAGCCTAAGGACCAGCAACATGGAGAGGGAGTCCCATGCACGATGCTGTAATTAGTCCGCTGTTGCCCTCCCAACGCCCCTCTTGGTACAGCACACTCAGCAGCAGCAAAGCTCCCGCAGCTCCTCAGTGGCACACTCGTTAGTTCTCTTTCTTTGTGTGTTGAAGCCTCTTCGGGTTGCTGATGGGCTAGCTGCTTATGGTGTAGAAGTGTTGCTGGGTTGTGAGGGATTCATAAGGCAGCCATGGCTGCCTGTGTTCTGCTTGTAGCTAGTTGTAGTTGTAGCTGACTTATAGCCAGCCAGTGAACTGATGTCATGTAGTTATGTTGTGTGACTACCCAAATACACTTCTTGATTTCATTATCGCTCAGAAGCTCAACTGCACCTTCAGTAAGGAGGAGCATTTAGCTGTGTTGGGCTGAGGTGATTTACTTCAACAAGATGTATCACATTGCCATGTGCCGTGCACAAATCAGCCCTCCCCAATCGTTCCTAAAGATGCTCTCTAATCCCGCAATAATTATTGCATTGCAATGATCAACCTATAGTAACCACTGGGTCACCGGTACTATCGCACCACATACACTTGGTCGTGACACCCCACAGTGGCATCAGCAGCAGGGTTGGTGGCCACATAGGGCACTGGAGGGCCCCCCTGCCCTCCACCACTACTGCGGTACAGCCCCACTGCCAGCTGCCCGTAGCGCTGCAGCAGACCCACAAAGAGACTCTCGAATGATCCGCCCACATAATCAGCTGGTACTGCCACCAGCACCAGCTCTCTCCGGAGTGGTGCAGAGCGGTGCTCGGACGGGGAAGTGGTGGTGGAGGGATCATTGGATGGTGCTGTGGCAGCAGTGCTCGGAGAAGCTGGCTGCTGCTGCCGGTGCTGCGTGAGAAGCTCCTCTGCTTCCCCTGGAGCATAAATAGCGCCGCCTGCAATGAGCAGGTCCGCCACTCCACTCAGCTTGCAGTTCAACAGCGCCTCATGGCTGGTGGAGGGTGGAGGATGTGCAGGGGCAGGAGGACACGAAAGAGATCAGGGAGAGAGCTTAGGTTGCTGTCTAGCGAGATGGTCAAAGAAGTTCACTAGTGTTTTGGTTTTCTCAAACGCAGCAACGAGGCGAATTCAAGGGCGACTCATATGAGGGCTCAGCTGAGGACTCACCTGACGAGTCACCTGAGGACTCACATGAGGAAGAGCAGGCCAGCAGGGCAGGAGGCGCGGCCATCAATGAAGGCAGGCGCGCAGCGCAGCAGGAGCGAGTGGTTGATGAGGGTGGTGCGGCGGGACACTCGCCACTGCCGCAGCGCTCCGTGCAGCACGCTTAGCGGCGGCAGGAACTGGAAGCTCTCCTCGTGCTGCACCTCACACAACACGCTGTTGCTGTACGCACCCTCTGGGGGGTGTGTGGGGTGTGAAGGCTGTGTGGGGTACGGGAGCGGTGCTGCGTGCGCAGGGTACTGTTGATGGAACGGGGAAACAGAGGTATCGGTGCTGGTGAGGTGCAGGTCGGGTTGAAAGGCGGAGGCGGAGGAGGAAGGGAAGGCAGAGGAGGAAGGGAGGGCGGAGGCGGAGTGGGAGGCGGAGTGGGAGGAGAGGAGGCGGTGCACAGCAGCAGCGATCTGCACGTTCTCCACGTCCTGGGCGAATATGGATGGGTCCACCGCGGCCCCCGCTGTCGTGCTGCCCTCGCCCTCCTCCCCCGCTGCCCCCACCGTGCTGGGCGAGGCAACGGTGTCTGACGCCATTATCACTATCTTGGCTGGAGGGATGGCAGGGGAGAGCAGGGGAGGGCAGAGGGTTAGCATAGGGATGGAATGGGGATGGCTGAAATAAGGAAACGGGTTGATTGGCAAGTGGAGAAAGAACGCAGGTGCAGGGAATGAGGGCAGGAGCCCAGGCACCTGCAGAGAGAGCGCCGGCTCGAAGGAGGTCCATGGGGGAGATGGGCGAGCCTCTGACGAAGTACACGTGGCGGTGGTGCCCCACACACCCCCACTGCTCCTCACTGGGCTCGTGTAACCGCAGGAACACGATTGGCACACAGCCCTCCGTGGCCACCCTCCTCCCTTCGTCTCCCCCTTCCACATCATCCCGCTCCCCTGCTCCCTCCTTAAATGACCCGCCTTCTCCCTCGCCTCCTCCTTCTTCACCCCACGCGCCCTCATCCCGCCTAAGAAAGCTCACGAAGTAGTGCAGGGAGTGCGGCCAGCACTCGCCCTGCAGCAGCACCAGCACGTGTGCGCGGGGCAGCACCCCTGCAACCGCTGCCAGCGTGCGACTCTCCAGGTGGGCGGCGATCTTCCTGCGGTTGCGCTGCAGCGTGGATGGGTGCGGGCGGGTGGGCAGGGCCGGGGGCTCTGTAAGCACCACCACGCTGGCCTCTGCTGCTTCGTCCATCCCTGCTGCGTCCACTGCTGCTGCTTCCGCGCCTGCTGTGTCCATGCCCGCTTCGTCCACGCTCTCAAGACCTGCTTCTGTGCAACCAGATGCCACTCTTTCGCCTGCTGTGTCTGTGCTTGAGCCTGCCGCACCTGTGCATCTAGTCAAGCCCTTTGGAGCAACCGTGTTTGTGTGAGAGAGAGAGTCGAGCGAGGTACTGTGAGAGGCTGGCAAGGAACGGCGAGAGGAGAGTGAGGTGTGGCTTGAGGAGAGCGAGAGGCGGCGGGAGGAGAGCGAGTGGCGGCGGGAGGGCCTAGCGGGAGGCCAGTCCAGGACTGCACTGACTGATGCCGCTAGTGGCAGCGGCTGGGGCACAGGTGGAGCAGAGATGGACGAGAATGCAAGGGTGGGCTGGCGGGAAAAGCGGGTGGAGGAGCGGGAAGAAGCACGGGAGAGAGCGCCGGAGGGAGTGCGGGAGAGCGAACGTGAGAGAGCACGGGAGGACACTTTTCTTGATAGCTGGCGCGCCAGAGCCCTGCTCTTGGCCATGAGAGCCTCGTCATCGTCCTGCTGCTCCTGCTGCTCTGTACCATGCTCGCTGCTCTCCCCCCCCCTTTGCGCTGCCTCTACTGCCCCGCTCAGCCTCTCCTCTTCCCCACGCTGGGGCGAGGAGTGAGGAAGGGGCGCGTGTGAGGGCCCACGGGGCCATGAGGCAGATGTGGGGCGGGCAGAAGAGGCCGAGCCGTGACGGGTGGAAGAGACGGAGCGGGAGAGGAGGAGGGAGGTGCGTTGGGAGGCGGCGGCACGCATGGCTTGGAACAGCTGCCGAGCAAGAGACTCCTCTGATTGCCACTCAGACACGCTGCGCCTCCTGCTGCTGCTCTTCCCACTGCTGCTGCTCTTCCCACCGCTGCTCTTCCCACCGCTGCTCTTCCCACCGCTGCTCTTCCCACCGCTGCTCCTCCTGCTGCCATCATTCCCGCCCTCCTCTCCGCCCCTCCCATTCACCAGTCCACCTACTGCATCGGCCTCTTCCTCCTCCTCCTCCGCCTCGACCTCCTCCTCCTCGTCCCCCTCCTCCTCCTCATCCCCCTCCTCCCCCAATCCTTCTGTGCTCTCCTCCCCACCCGCCCTCTCAAAAATGATCTGGCGCCAAGTCAGCAGGGCCTCTGCTGACCAGGCAGCACTGGGAGCGTGGGCCCACGTGGCACAAGCTCGTGCCAGCAGCTGCAGAAGCTTGGCGGCGTGTGGCTGCCCCTTGGGAGCTCTGAAAGGTGTGGCATGATCGTGGTCACTTATGGCAAGAGGTTCACCTGTGGCAGCAGCACCTGAGGATTGTACACCAGCTCTGCCACCACAGCTGCCATAACTTGAGATACCTTTTCCTCTCCTTTCCTCCCCCACACGCCTCTCCCGCTCCTCCCAATTCTCCTGCACATCCTCCTTCTCCCCCCCCTTCTTCCATCCCCCCGCTTTCTCCTCCCCCTCCCCTTCCTCGTGAATGTCAACGACTTTCTCGAATGGATCCTCCACGTCCCGCCCTTCCCCTCTCTCAGAGTACGATTGGCGCATGCCGCCCCAGCTGCCGCCCGCCGCCCTTGCAGACAGCGAGTGTGCCGCACGGGAGATCTTCTCCACTGTAGCAAGATCCGGCGCTATCACATGCCCCACATCCCGCGGACCAATCACATGCCCCCGTGGAAACAAAAAAATATTCCGCAAGCTGGCAGCAGCACCATCTGCTGTCCCTCTCCCCGTTGCCCCCCCGCTACCACTCCCATCCCCACCTACCACCTGCCTCTCCTCCTCTGCTCCCTGATCCCCCTCAGTCATCCCCTCTTGCCTCCCATCCTCTCCGCTCACACCAAAGGAAGCAGAGAAGACGGTGGAGGAGCGGACGAATTTCTTGAGGGGTTGCAGGCGGGGGCCGTAGTGGACGATGGAAGGGGTGGAGAGGGATTTTGAGGAGCTGGGAAGACCGTGTGGCGAACGCGTTTCATCTGCCGTTTCGTCTGGCGTTTCGTCTGGCGTTTCATCGAGGCAGATGTCGACTGCGAACAAGATGACTCGGTAGGCGCGATAGATCACCTCCACCAGCTGATGCACGAGCAGAACGCGGCAACACAAAAGGAGAAGAGAGAACTCGTTAAAATCTAAATAAGTGACTCCATTGCGGCGGAAGAAAAGCACGATGCACCCGGTTTTTCCCGAATTCGATACCAGCAGCGCAAACTCTACATCAATTTCTACCGCTTCAAAGAGCATGCCGAGGAAGGCGGGGGGCAGCAGCATGGGAAAGGACTCCATCTGCTGCCCCTTGCTTCACCATTTCCACAAACCCTCCTCCTCACCTACCTACACACAGATAACTACCTCCGCCACTCCAGTCCCCACTCACCGCTTCAAAGAGCATCCCATGGAAGGCAGGGGGCAGCAGCATGGGAAAGGACTCCATCTGCTGCCCCTGCATGTACTCGTTCAGGTGTGGGGCGCCTCGCAGGGGTGGCAGCGGTGGGCCCGACGAGAATAGGTTTGTGACCAGCGTGCTGACCGCCGGAACCTCGCAGCTGCAGTGGTGGTGGGGGTTGGGGGTTGGGATGTGAGAAAGGTGGGGGAATGAATGGAAAGCTCAGAGTGACGGTGGTTGAGAAAGAAGGCTTGTCGCCAGCGTGCTCACGGCAGGGACCTCGCAGCTGGAGTGGTGGTAAAGGGTTTGGTGGGATGCCCGGGAGTGGGGGGGAGAAGTAGGGATGTGTCCCGGGGGGTGAACGCAGAGTGAGTGCACAGCGGCGGGCCCGACGAGAAGATGTTTGTCACGAGCATGCTGATGACTGGAATCTGACTTTTGAGTCGACTCAAAAGTCAGCATGCTAGTGACTGGAATCTGACCTTTGAGTCAACTCAAAAGTCAACATGCTAATGACTGGAATCTGACTTTTGAGTCGACTCAAAAGTCAGCATGCTAATGACTGGAATCTGGCAGCTGGGTGGTGTTGGGGTTGGAAAGAACAACAAACTCTGAACAATGGAGACTAAGGGTGCTTGCATGCAGGCAGGGACGCGCAAGGTGACATGATGAGGGGACCTTTCCCAGTTGCGACCTCCCCCAGTTGCCACCTCCCTCCCTGCACCCACCCACCAACCCACCCACCCACCCACGAGCCCAGCAGTACCTGCGAGCGAGCAGGCAGAAGCGCGTGGGGTCCGTGCAAAAGAGCTCCAACGCGCCCACCTCCCCCCACATGGCGCCCCTGCCCTCCACCTGCCGTTCAGAGCCATGGCGGAAGGGAGATGGGGGATGGGGGATGGGGGTTGGGGGATGGGGAATGGGGGATGGGGGATGAGGGATGGGGGATAGAGGACGCTAAATGGGTGGAGGGCCATGTGGGATGAGCGATGGGGGATCGGAGATAAGGCAGGCAAGGAACAAGGCAGGCAGGAGGAATAGCATGCACGAGGCATGTCACCGCCCTCTCCTCGCTTCCCTGCATGCCTCACCTGCAGGCGAAGCAGCTCCACCACCACTTTCAAACCAGTGCATTCACGGAGTCTCAAAACACACCACTTGCCACCACTTGCCACCACTTGCCACCGCGTGCCACCGCATCCCACCGCTTGTTACCACATTCCTCACCTGTGGGCGCAGCAGTTCCACCGCCACTCTCACACGCCCCCGGCACGACCGGTGTGCCACGAGCCCCCGAATGAGCTGTGCCGTGTCCTCACTCTCTGGGTCCTGCATACAGGCAAGGTGGAGCATGCAGACACACACACAGATGAGAGCAGTGGCGGATCATAGAGGGCACACCGGCAACAATAGAGTGCCATGAGTCCCTAGATGAGCTGCGCTGTGTCCTCACTCTCCGCCGCATGCACGGGGGTTGCATGCACGGGGGTTGATGGCGACACACACCCACCTCTGTGCTCCTATTGGCCAACACACGCCCACCTCTGTGCTCCTATTGGCAAGGAGGTAGATGGCGAGGGCGTCCCTGGCAGCCACACGATCAAAGTCATCTGGACGGTCCATCTGCCCCTGCATGTACCGCGCCTTGCCCTGGAAGAAACCCAGAAGCGCCTTGAAGGCGAAGCTGCAGAGAGGAGCGAGATGAGGAGATGCGGGAGAGAGGCGAGATGAGGGAGTGGATGGTAGGAGAGAATGAGAGGAGGAGAGGGTGAAATCGTGGGGAGCTCAACAGATCGTGCTGTGAAAATAGGTGTAGGAGGGGCAGGTGTAGGAGGGGCAGGTGAAAGGCTTGGGCGCGGGCGAGTGGAGGATTCACGAAAAAGGGCGACATAGAGAGAAGGGGGACTCACGAGGGGGACGGAGGGTGGGAACTCACGAGGGGGGGGTCTGGACCCATGAAGACCACCTTGAGTGGATAGACAGTTCGAGGTGAGTTTTGAGTTGACTCAAAAGTGGCAAGACAAGGCTGAATAGAGAGCGAGGGCGAGGGAACTCACGAGGGGGGGTCGGGTCCCATGAAGACCACCTTGAGTGGATAGACTGGCACTCCTGGTGGAAGGAAGGGGGAGGGGGAGAAAGATGAGAGAAAGGAAGGGGTTGAAAGGGAGAGAGGAGGGTAGGAGGATAAGGGGCAATGCGCGTGAGATTTAGGATAACTTGCCATAGCAAGTAGGGTAAGCATGATAATGCTCGCGGGCAAAGGAGACAAGTCAACAAAGTCAAGCCGGTCAATGAGGTGAGCGAGGTGGGTGCGTGCACATACGGCCGTTGTGCAGCGGTGAGAAGAAAGAGCAGAGCAGGTCACGAGCACACTCCACAGATGACACCCCCCAGATCACCACAAACCGCACCCCCACCGTGCGGTACCGTGACAGCCACCCGCCGTAGGGGCTGGCAGTGGGGAAGGGGAAACGGGAGGATAGGGGAGGGGTGGGGGTATTATGGCGTGTGATAGAACTGGTAGTGATGACACTTGGACAGAGAGAAGGAAAACAGAGATGGAAGGAAAGGGCAGGGGGAGCGAGGGGTGCGTTAGGCTCACCGGTTGGAGGCGAGTTCAAGGAGGCGGCCGATCTGCAGCGGGATGTACGTGAGGGCGGCGAAGATGGTGAACAGTGGTGGTCAGGACTCACCGGCACGGCATTGCCAGTCGGCACGGCACTGCCAGTCGGCACGGCACTGCCAGTCGGCACGGCACTGCCAGTCGGCACTATATCTAATCCCGAATCAGTCTCATTTAAGATACTTAGTTTAGGGTCTAGCACAGCCATCTGCAGAATCTCATTGCGTTTTTATTTTTCCTCCAGAAAAACCATCGTTAAGTACTCTATGCAATAGCGTGGGATCAATATTTACTAGCCTGGCTTTTTCTCTGAGGAGTGAAGGAAAAGCAACAAATTCAACTTTCTGCGCGCGCGCCTTGGTCCGAGCACGCGCCTTGGTCCACGCGCCGCGCGCGCGCCTCGGTCCACGCGCGCCCCATGGTCCACGCGCGCCCCATGGTCCACGCGCGCGCCATGGTCCACGCGCGCGCCATGGTCCACGCGCGCGCCTTGGTCCACGCGCGCGCCTTGGTCCACGCGCGCGCCTTGGTCCACGCGCGCGCCTTGGTCCAAGCCAGTTTTCCCTGCCAGTCGGCACTGCCAGTCAGCACTGCAAGTCGGCCCTGCAAGTCGGCCCTGCCAGTCGGCCCTGCCCGACCCCACCCTCCAACAGCCAAAGCATCTGCTCACCGGTTGGAGGCGAGTTCAACGAGGCGGCCGATCTGCAGCGGGATGTATGTGAGGGCTGCGAGGATGGTGAAGAGCGGCAGTCAGGACTCACCAGTGCGTGCCAGCCAGCGCGCTGACAGACCCACCCTCCAGCAAGGGGAGCAAGGGGTGCAAGGGGTGCGTTATACTCACCGGTTGGAGGCGAGTTCAACAAGGCGGCCGATCTGCAGCGGGATGTATGTGAGGGCAGCGAATATGGTGAACACTGCCACAACCCTCCCCCATGAGGAGTGTGGTGTCACGTCACCATACCCCACCGTCGCCCCCTGGTGCGGTGTAACAAAGGGACGAAGGGAGGTATGTGGGAGGAGGTGTATGGGGGAGGGGCATTGGGAAAGGTGCATGTGGGACCAGAACTGTCACCACCCGCCCCCATGCTGAGTGTGGCGTCACATCGCCATACCCCACCGTCGCCCCCTGGTGCGTGCGAGCATAAGGAGAGGTGTATTGGGGGGTGCATTGGAGGAGATGCATGCAGGTAGGTGGCAGTGTGGTTGCAAGAGGCAAGAGGCAAGAGGCAAGAGGCAAGAGGCAAGAGGCAAGAGGCAAGAGGCAAGAGGCAAGAGGCAAGAGGCAAGAGGCAAGAGGCAAGAGGCAAGAGGCAAGAGGCAAGAGGCAAGAGGCAAGAGGCAAGAGGCAAGAGGCTCACTGTGACCACCACGAAGAGGATGGCGCAAAGGCAGCCCTTCGTGGAGACACGGACGTACCCTGGTGTGGTGGTGAGCATGCAGCTGACGGGGGCAAAGAAGTCTGATGCAGGCACTGGCAGGGCAGTTTTGAGTCGACTCAAAAAGTCTCCTTTCACAAGACACGCACTCACCGTGACTCAGAACAAACCGTGACCACCATGCACAGTTGGGCTCACGAGACAGGGAACTCACCGTGACCACCATGCACAGTTGGGCTCACGACGCACAGCACTCACCGTGACCACCATGAAGTAGAAAGAATCAAAGAAGTTGGTGCAGCCGCTGGCAGGGCAGTCGTTCTCTGTCTTGTATGCCTCGCTGGTGTCCCAATATTCCACATACTGGAATATGCCCGCCCCCACCAGCACTGACGCAGTGGTGGGAGGGAGAGGAGGGAGAGAGGAGAGGGAGAGAGAGGTGGGAGTGAGAATTCGTGCCCTGCCTTGTATGTCTCGCTGGTGTCCCAACGTACTGGAATATGCCCGCCCCCACCAGCACTGACGCAGTGAAGAGAAGAGGCAGAGAAGACGGAGAGGAGGAAGAGCAAAAAGGGTGCAGGCCTGAAGAGGTAATAGATGGGTTAGGGTTCGAATAAGCCAGAGAAAATGTCCTTTTGAGACGTCTCAAAAGCCAAAGAAAATGTCCACAGATGATTCATAGCCAAAGACCCCCCTCCCCCTCCTTCCAGATGATTCATAGTTGGCTCAGAGACACTCCAGATGCCCGGGTTTTGGGTTTCTGGTGTAGGTCCTACCGACGGTCAAGATTGCTTACAGACGGTGAAGATGGTGAATCCAAGGGCTATCATTTCTTTAAGGATGGCATTGCGCATCGTGAGAGCCGCCTTCACTATCGATATGGTGCTGCCACGTGGTGGGGGAGAAGTGGAGGAGTTAAGGATGGGAGAGATGGAGGGGGAGGGATGGAGGTGTGAGGGGTGGAGGGGGGAGGGGTGGACAGAGGAGCAGCGGACAGGGGGAGAGCAGTTGGCGCCGTATTGTGAGCAGGCAGGCTGGATGAAGAATAACACAAGGGCGATGAAGGGGAAAAGAGTGAACATGGGGAGGGTAAGGAGAGCGCAAGGGGAGGGCGGGAAGGTTGAAGAGAAGGCGAGGGGCTGACCGGATGACGCGGAGGAAGGTGAGGAGCTGCGGCAGTCGCACACCGCTGCTGGTGCCCACATGCTTATTCCTGGTGTGGCGTGGCCGGGCAGGGCGTGGCGTGGCATGGTGTGGTGTGGGATGGCGTGGCATGGGATGGCATTGGGGTAAGGACGTGTGTAAACGTAAGAGTGAGAGATGTGGAGTGGAGGAGAGGGGTTGTGGAAGGTGCGATGCGGATGGATGGATGGATGGATGGATGGATGGATGGATGGATGGATGGATGGATGGATGGATGGATGGATGGATGGATGGATGGATGGATGGATGGATGGATGGATGGATGGATGGATGGATGGATGGATGGATGGATGGATGGATGGATGCATGGATGCATGGATGCATGGATGGATGGATGGATGGATGGATGGATGGATGGATGGATGGATGGATGGATGGATGGATGGATGGATGGATGGATGGATGGATGGATGGATGGATGGATGGATGGATGGATGGATGGATGGATGGATGGATGGATGGATGAATGGATGGATGGATGGATGAATGGATGGATGGAAGGATGGAAGGATGAGGAACACGAGGAGCACTGCAGCAGTTAGAGGCAGAGAGGAGCGACTTACAAGCGGATGAGGAGGAGAGGCAGCAGCGAGATGAAGTCGAGAATGCCCTGCCATGACACCATGTACTGAAACCATGAGTACGCGCTGAGAGGGAGAACGGGGGGGAAGAGAGGGAGGGGAAGGGGGAGGCGGAGGAAAGGGGGGGGAGCGGGAAGCACTGTTGAGAACTCTCAAAAGCCCTGCCATGACAGCACATAGAGCAGTCATGAGTCGGCGCGGGGGTGGTACGGGGGTGGTACGGGGGTGGTATGGGAGAGCACCTCAAGAGGTTGATGATGTAGTCAAGGAGGACGAAGGAGCTGAAGACGGTCTGCAGTGGTGTGATGTGGAAGGTGGTGTGGAATATGGTGTGCGAGGTGCTATGTGCGAGGTGGTGCGGGCACCTGAAGAGGTTGATGATGTAGTCGACGAGAAAGAAGGAGCTGAAGACCGTCTGCAGGGTGACCATCCACTCCAGGCTCGTGTCCGGATGGTACCTGCACTCGTTGACGGGCGGAGGGAGGGGGGCAGGGAGGCTCGTTGAGGGAGTGTCCGGAGGGTGCCTCAGAAGGAGCAGAGAAAGGAGAGGGGTACACTATGTAGATGAGGAACAGGGAGGTTGCATTGGGATGGAAGGATATGAGGAGAGCGTGGATGGAGCGTGGAGGGTGTTAAGAGAGAATGACGGGGATGGCCCCAGCATGCGTTACAAATTGCGTCCCGTCGTTAGAGGGTGACGCACTCTCGTTTGCCAGATGTAAAGCGTGACGGACCCTAGCATTGCCACGACGTCGAGCTGTGTGGGAGAGACGCAGAGAAGACAGACTAGGGTCCGCCGCAGAGACCCTAGTGTAGCCATGACGGCGAGCTGTGGCGTACGGTACACATTGCTTACGCTTGACTGGAAGAGTGCACTCACGTTTGCCACACATAGAGCGTGACAGGCCCTAGCGTTGCCACCACGTCCAGCTGTGTGGGGGAGGCAGAAGAGGAGCGGAGCGAGGAGCAGAGGGTGGGACGAGGGGCATGAGGGAGTTGCAATGTGAGGGGGAGGTGCAATGTGAGGGGGAGGTGCAATGTGAGGGGAAAAGGGATGAGGGAGTAGGTGTGAGGCTATCTCGCACGCGGGTGCAGTGAAGCAAAAAGGGAGAAGCAGCCATGGCGTGGAGATGGCAGAAGGACGGCAGGATGGGGCGGTATGATTTGGAAGAGGCGCGCGAGGGGTCCTTTGGAGAGCATGGCGCGCAGGCGCATGGGCAGGGGGATGTGGCCGAAGAGAAACGCGTCGTCGTACGTCGCCAACACACCCTGCAGCGGGGGGGGGAGAGGGAAGAAGGGGGGGGAGGGGATTTGGGGGAGTGGGGAATGGCGCAGAGACGCATGGGCAGGGGAATGCGGCCGAAGAGAAACGCGTCGTCGTACGTCGCCAACACGCCCTGCAGCGGGAGGAGGGGGAGTGGAAACGCGGGGGAGCGGAGAGGGGGAGGGGAGAAGCGGGAAGCGGAAGGGGGAATAGGAATAAAGGTGGCGGGCAATCAAGGAAGTCATGTGCGGTCAGTGGGAGAGGAGAGAGCAGGAGGGCGCACAGAGGAATGGGAATGGCTTGAAGAGCGTCATGCAAGCACCATGCGCCAGCAGCAGTTCCCCCTCCGCGCCCCTCCCCCGTCCCTTCCCCTGCTGGAACCATTGCGCCGTGCTACAAACAACTTGCGCCCTTCCCCCGCTACACTCCCGTACTACCCGCGCCCTTCCCCTTCCAGTGGCCCTTGCGTCCCCCAACTCTATCCCCTTGTCCTTCGCCCCCGTTCTTCCCGCCGACTGCCCTTGAATCTCCCCCCCCCCCCCCCCCCCCTCCCCCTCCACCCTTCCCCCCCCGCGCCTCTTACGTCAGGGGCATCAACTCGCTTCAGCACGCGCTTGGAGGGCCCCTTGGACTGCTTTCGCTGCCGCAGGCCACTCCGCTCCTGCCACGTGGGGGAAGAATGGAATGGAAAGGTGACAGCTGAACGATGCGATCGTGACCGTCAACCGCAGACACATCCATACCGAATCGCTTCCCGCCTTTGACAGGCAGTTCTCGCGCTCAGCCACAGACGGGTCTCGATATACGGTACGAGCGGAAAAGGTACAGATGGTTCCTTACACATAAAAATGATACACGCGTGGTACATGATGGTGAAAAACTCATTTTGGTATTTATCAGAACCCCACTTCACAATCAACCTGCTGGGCCGGAAAACACATCGAAAAGTATAATTTCCGCTAAAATTTGATATAAAATTACCAATTACACAGATAATTATCAATTGGCGTTCATATATATCAATTGGTGTCTATGTACGTGATGAACCTCAAATACTACATGGCATCAATCATATATTGTAGAGAATATTTTTCTTTTCCGCGTTGGAGCTCCCGTTCGCCAGCCGAACGCTTTAGCGAGAACGGGAAAACAGCACTGCCATGCTTGCAGGTACGGGTCAAGCCTTCGATGGGGTGACAGATCAGGCTGAGATCGGACGGCGAGCAATGGCTTAGCAAACTGCTAAAGCACAGGTCCAGTCAGGTTTGATGGAGAAAAAGGATGGCGATTAAGGGTGCCTTTTGCCACGTCACGAGATTCCTTCGCTCATTCATTGGCTTGGGTCAGAACTCAGGGGCGACATCAGTAACCACGAATCACTAATATGGGGGTTACAGAAATGTTCGCCACACCATGAGGTGGTTGCAACTTTCGCCTCTCTGACTCATCGCCAGGACATTTTCAATAGCAAGCCCAACACGGCATCCAGCTCTCACAAACCAGAGCCAGGGAGAGCTGCCACAGAGAGCAGACAAGCGATCCAATTTCAATCACAACGGCTCTCTTACACAACAAGGGTTTGGTCGCCCCTCATTGGCCAGCGCCGACCGTTTGAATTTGATCGACGCGGGGACAGATGTCGAACTGGCGGGATGACGGATCACCTGCTAGATTTACAAATCGACGGTCGAAAATCGTAGGCTTTTCGTTCGCTCCTCCTGACCTTGATTCCCGCTTCCGTTAACGGACCCTTTCTGAAGGATCTCTGGATTCTCCTTGTCGGTGCAGCCGCTTGACGGCGATTGCGACACGTGACGGAGTGTAGCAAACGGAGGGTTCTAAACCACCTGAACCGCACAATCACGTGACACGTTGGAACTTCGACCTGCGGTTGAGATTCGAATCTAGCCCCAACCTCATCAGAGATGATCGTTTTGGAACCGTGATTCAGTTAATGAGAAACTAGCGTCATTCCGAGGGGTAGTGAGCCTCAATCCGTGACCATCTCACCGCATTCCTCCCCGTTCTCACCCAATTTCGATTCAATTTCTCTCCAACATGGTTCATTCTGCTCGTTTTCGCCCGAGATTTTGCCGCCTGAGATCAGTCTCCTTCGTCTTGCTAGCGAAGATCTTCCATTTTGTTTTCGGTAGCCGTAACTCTCCGTTCACATCGAAATCGTTTCTATTTCACATTGGGATGTTCGCGAATCAGCAGCCAAATCCGCCAAGCTGCACTCAGTTCGTTGTGCAGTCAAATCCGAATTTCAAATCGCCAGCCAAATCCGAATTTCGGTGTGTACTTCGTCACTGATTCGTCATTTCTTGCAAATTTCCGCTTGTTTTTCACATGCAAGATTTAACTGACCAGATTGCGATTTTTTTCGCGTTGCAGATTTCCTTCACGTTCACAGACCCTTTGAACTCGACTTCGACGCGCTTCAGCGATTTTTACATCGTCGCCAAGCTGCCATGAAGTCGTCACCCAAAATTCAGCGGTTTCTGGTGAGCGTCTTTCCTTTCGCCGTTTTGAGTCCGTTTCTCATCGTTTGTAGTAATATCCGCAGCCTATTCTCACCTCGTTTTCAACCGACTGAGCTTTACTTTTCTTGATATTGCGCAGGTTCTGCTCACGCTGCCTCGCCAAGCAAACGGTTGGCGGCTGCTCGCTATGTGACTAGGCGTCGCCAGTTTGCGGTTTCGCGTTTTTTTCGTGAGGATTTTGTCGAGCAGCACGCCTGAAGTGGAGGCGTGGCGCAGAAGCGGCAGAGTGCCGGACGTAGCGTGGTACGTGCCAAGGGGGTGCTTGCAGGGGGGCAGTTAAGTGAGTCGTAGGCGTCGCCGCGCAGAGGCAAGATTCGTGTCTGTTGCTTGCTGCTCCACCACTCGCTTCCTGCTTCTTTAACCCTCCCTTGTTTCGCTGTTTCTGTTTCGCTGTCTCTCTCTCCCCATCCGTGTGTGTGCTCACGGCCTCCGAGGTGGAGGGGAATGGCAGAGCGTGGACACGGAATAGCGCGGAGTAGGCGCGCGTCGTCTACAATTCGTCGCATGGCGAAATCTTCATCCGCGAATCGTGGCATGACGAAATGGTCGCGCGGCAGCAGCATCAGCTCTCTCTCGGTCCTCCTTCAACCGCCAGCTAAGTGCCTTCTTCAACCCTCGCACTCCGTTGCTTTTTGTGCTTGCACCATGCATCCCACTCCCCCTTTCACTGCCCTCTGTCACCCATGAGACCTCTCTCCCCCAAGGTAACAGGTATGTTTTTTCTTGGTACAGCCTCAGATATTTATTTGAGTTTGGTTCAGCTGGTATGAGGTCTCTTGGGTGTGCCACTGCAGCAGTCCATTCCATTCATGCACGCATCATTCTTGCACTTTCTGCACTCGTCGCTCTCCCTTCACTCCACTCGTATTTGCTCCTTTCCTCATTCATCTCCCCACTCCTCCCCCCCCCCCCTTCACTTCCCCGTTTTCTCCCCCCTTTACTCCCTTCCTCTCTCAGTCCCGATCTGCCACCTCTCTCCCAGGAGGTCGCTCACACGGGAGTGGCAGGGGCGGGGGACATGGACTGCACAGGCAGGTGCTGCTCTCCACCCAACCCTCCCACAGCTAAGTACCCCGCCCTTCCTCTCTTCTCCCACCCTCGCAATCTGTTGCTTTTCATGTCATGCTTGCACCATTCATCGCGCTCCCTTTTTCACTGCTCTTTGTCACATCCATGAGACCTCCCTCCCCCAAGGTAGCAGGCTCATTTTTTTTTGTACAGCCTCAGGTATTAGTTTTAGTTTGGTTCAGCTGGTACGAGGTCTCTTGGGTGTGCCACTGCAGCAGTCCATTCCATTCATGCACGCATCATTCCTGCACTTTCTGCACTCGTCGCTCTCTCTTCACTCCACTCGTGTTTGCTCCTTTCCTCATTCCTCTCCCCACTCCTCTCCCCACCCTTCCCTTCCCCGTTTTCTCCCCCCTTTACTCCCTTCCTCTCTCTGTCCCGATCTGCCACCTCTCTCCCAGCAGGTCGCTCACACGGGAGTGGCAGTGGTGGGGGACATGGAGTGTGCACAGGCAGCAGCTGCTCTCCACCCAACCCTCCCACAGCTAAGTACCCCGCCCTTCCTCTCTTCTCCCACCCTCGCAATCTGTTGCTTTTCATGTCATGCTTGCACCATTCATCACACTCCCTTCTTCACTCTCTGTCACACCCATGAGACCTCCCTCCCCCAAGGTAGCAGGTATATATATTTCTGGTACAGCCTCAGGCATTATTTTTAGTTTGGTTCAGCTGGTACGAGGTCTCTTGGGTGTGCCACTGCAGCAGTCCTTTCATGCACGCATCATTCTTGCACTTGCTGCACTCTTCGCTCTCACTTCACTCCTCTCATCTTTGCTTCTTTCCTCACTGCTCTCCGAACTCCCCTGTTCCCCATTCACTCGCCCGTTTTCTCCCCTCCCTCCTCCCTTCCTCTCTGTCCCGATCTGCCCCCTCTCGTCCCAGCAGGTCGCTCACACGGGAGTGGCAGTGGCAGGGGGGACATGGAGTGCACAGGCAGCAGCTGCTCTCCACCCAACCCACCCACAGCTAAGTACCCCGTCCTTCCTCTCTTCTCCCAACCCTCGCACTCTGTTGCTTTTTGTGTGCTGCCTGTCCCACCCAAGAGACCTGAGCCTCCCTTCAAGCTTGAGCCTCTGGTCATGCCACAACTTCAAGCCACAGACCCCTTTTTTTTCTGGTAAACCACCCCTGGTACAGAAGGTATTCTTTCAGGTTAAGCCTCCCTCGGTATAAAGCCCTTTTGGGTCTGTGGCTTGTAGCTGAGACTGCACCAGTGGCCCCCTTTTCTGCTGTCACCTGCCACCCCACCCCACCCCACCCCACCCATGCTGAGCTGCTTACTCACTTCTCTTCAGTTCTCTCCTTGCCGGTTTAGGGGAGGGGGGTTGGGGTCAACACCGCCACTCCCGCGCACCCCTCCCCTTGTGGCCATGCAGGTGGCAGTGGCGGGAGGGGAGGGGGGCAGCACTCCACTCGGCTGGGATGGGATGGGAGAGTATCGGGATTGGGTCGTCTGGAACAAGGTGAGCCTCTTTACCTCTTGCACTCATGCTGCTGCTTGGTCTTCTCCCCATGCTATCTTCCCTTTCTTGCTTCCTCCCTGCCTTCACGCTTGTGCTTGCTCTTCTTCCCATTCTCACTGCTGTCCCTTGTTCCCTGTCTGCCTGCCTCTCCCCTTCCTCTCAGCGTTCTGCCAGCGCCCAGTGCATTGAAGGCTGTAGCAGGGCGACAAGGGGGAGCAGGAGGGCAGGACAAGGGGGACATGGAGTGCACAGGCAGCAGCTGCTCTCCACTCAACTCACCCACAGCTAAGTACCCCGGCCTTCCTCTCTTCTCCCATCCGCACTCTGTTGCTTTTCGTGTGCTACCTACTATCCCACCCAAGAGTCCTGAGCCTCCCTTGAAGCTTGAGCCTCTGGTCATGTCACAACTTCAAGCCACAGACTCTTTTTTTCTGGTAATTCACCCCTGGTACAGAAGGTATCCTTTCAGGTTAAGCCTCCCTTGGTATAGAGCCCTTTGGGGTCTGTGGCTTGTAGCTGAGACTGCACCAGCTGCCCCATTTTCTGCTGTCACCTGCCACCCCACTCCACCCCACCCCACCCCACCCCACCCATGCTGAGCTGCTTACTCACTTGTCTTCAG